ATGACCAATTCTTTCTTTTATTTACTTTCATTTTCATTTATTCACGTAGGCAAAATATCTACTGAAAAAGCTATGCCACTATGTCTAATTATTTACAGTATCTAAATTAAGAATATTATTCTCATCTTTGTTGGTGTCAACACAACGTTTTCGACCGTTGTGCTCTCCAGCCGTCCTCAGGTGTATATAGATCTATATAAACTACATGGTATTCTGAACTCAGTACTTTATTTAATATATGGAGTAAACTTTTCTCGTTCTTTTGCTCATATTTAAATCCACTATTTAATTGTTGATTTATGAATTTGGTGACAGAGTGATTGTGAGTTCAATCGCTGAGTTGAACATGGGCAATGAAAGAACAGTCTATCCCCGTAGATGAAAGAAAGGCTTCAGTTTGGAATTCCCTGGAGATTATCCAGATCGCTATATACTTGAAGAAGGCTGGAGAGCACAGTGGTCGAAATGTTGTGATAAATACAAGAGAGATGAGAACAATACTCCAATCCGAATATAAATAGTGTAAACAATGATATACTCATCCCAGAAATCTATCTATCTATCTATCTATCTATCTATCTATCTATCTATCTATCTATCTATCTATCTTAGTCTGTTTATATCTATCTATCTATCTATCTATCTATCTATCTATCTATCTATCTATCTATCTATCTATCTATCTATCTATCAGGAAACCTTCTTAGCCCAACATGGCATGTCACCACGGCACGCTCTTTTAAGTTATGTATATCTAGCGGTGAGGTTTTCAAAATGTTCATTTTAGTAGTAATTTAATTGAAATGCAACATAATCTTTTTTACATTTGATTATTTTCTAAACTTTGCTATAAATGAAGAAGCTGTTAAATTCGGTTCAAAAATTGGCTTTATTTGAACAACAACAAACAAAAACAACAAAAAACACCTTCTTTTCCTCCTGCATATCATTTTGTTTTCCCATTCTGAATCTGTTGGTTCAATATTTGAGAAGAATTCGGTATAACATTTAGTACAGTAGTATTTATTTCTAAGTTTTAGTCAAAACTTACTTATTCTTATATATTTAAGATTGATGTGCATGACTCTTTTTAACAAGTAAATCAATTCTGGGATCATTTACAGATAGACACTTGCGTACATCGATTTTAATAGACAGTCTATTACGAAATTCGAACAGACAAATTGATAAAAAAAAACTTGTTTAAAACGGTAACTGAATGCGAAAAGCAAAAGATTTTCCAAACATTTTAAAGACAGATTCCATATGATTTCGCTAGAGAACACCAAAAGTGTTGTTAGAGATAGATTCCAAAAGAAAAGATTTGGGAACATTGAGTTATTCAAAAATTCTACATATTCATCTTGTACATTTTCTGGTAGAGATGTGGGATTAATTCGAAAAGGGATTCCCAATATGTTTATAATGAAAGGAAGAATATTCTGAAGGACATGAACGAACATGGCTCCTCACAACTTCCTAATGATTTGATAATCATAACGAATGATAAAGAAAGCAAATTGTCTCTTTCTATGGGGACAGAATGTTTGCGAACCTTTGATTATAATAAGTATGGAAGCACCAATAGCGTAAATCCTTGGTGGTATGTCGTTTAATTCTTGGTAATTCCTGATCTCGAGGGTTGCGGTATGCAATATTGCTTATTAAATCGGTAATGATAAGTTCTGATCTTGTGATTTGTAGCTATTTCCATATGTTTTATATTTTATGTTATGGGATAGCGATAAATAATTTTGTTATGTATCAAGAAGAATTTTAGGGGAAAGAAGTATGAGAAAATGGAAACGGTTTTCGTAGGAAAACAAGAAAAAACACAATTTTAACCAAATTTTCGATCGTTTTAAAAAGGATAAAAAATATAATTTAATAATCAAAAAATCCCTTCGACTTTTCTCTTAATAATAGCATAAAGATTTTGACGATAAAACTTTGTTTTATTAAGTTTGAGGCATTTTTTTCATCATGGTATGCTCGTTTTTGATCTGTGATATATATATATATATATATATATATATATATATATATATATATATATATATATATATATATATAAGTGAACATTGTAGTCAACACTCAGAGGCGAGTGTATATATATATAATTATTTTTTAAAGCAAAAATATGAATCAGTCGCGACACAGAAATTACTATATTTCGAAACTACTCTACAGTATTCAAGTTTAATTAACAATTGGGTGACATTTTCATCCTCAAGCGATGTTTACAATAACTAAGCAACGAAAAGTTTTATTCATTTACTGTTTTATTCATTTACAGTTTTCAAATGGGGGTGTGATCTAGGGTTTGCTTTTTATTATCGAGCGGTCACTGCTTTGATGGAAGTACGGGTGTTTGTCATATGTCAAGTTTTGGTGTCGTGTAAGGTTGGTTTGGGATTTTTTTGTCTGTCTGCAATGGCTAATAATATCAGACTCCCTGTTAAACTCTGATTGAGGTTGTAGTTCTAAAAATAAAAAAAAACAAAAATACTAAAGAACTTCGGATAATCAATCTAATAGTTCTTTCCTATTTATCACACACACACACACACACACACACATATATATATATATATATATATATATATATATATATATATATATTAGGATATTACACCGAAAACATGTCAAAATCTCTATACGGTTGCAGTCACGTTTCGATGCGTATAAATGCTTCTCATCAGACGATTGTGAATTACTGATGAGTGAATGATTTATTTAGATTTAAAAGCAAAATACAACCTCTTTTTAAGAAAAAAACGAAAAAGGAGGGTTATAAGGTTTGTGGGCGTTAATCTGATCAACCAATCAAATATGACCTACGTTAAATTTGAAATAAGCGAAGAAGCAAAAAATTAAAAAAAACATTTTTTTTATAAATGAGTCATGACCCGTAGATTGGCACCTACCGGTAGCCAGACATAAACAGGAGGGGATGTGAATGGATACATAAATTATACAAACTAGACAATGCTATTTCCTAAAAATAAAAACGAGGTGGAGACGTAATTTAACCAATTGTTAAACAAGTTATATGCTTTGTGAGTTTCCTACATAAAAATGTTTTATAGTTGATAAATATATAGCTTCTTTAAGAAACCAGTAAATAATTTAAACTTATAGATCGATACTACGTTTAACAAATGATGCAGCAACACGAAGCCACCCACACACACGAACCTGACCCACCAGTTTTCGACACCACGAGAAGACGTTATGTCGCGTCAGGACCTCAGGAACTGATGGAATGCCATTTTCACGTTTCCACTTAAGCGTGTTTGTTATCTTGCTCGATATGCAAACCCAGCACACTTGTGCCGTCCCGTAACCGCACCGGATCCTTGCAGGTCAAACCAAACGCAGCCAAATGCTCCTTCACGCGAGCTACTGAAATCATGCTCTCGTCAACATAAATAACATCAATATATGATCAGGTTGCCCCTCGAACTGACTCGTCTTTCGACAACGAGGCGCCAACAATGGCCTTCATTATGTCTGGTGCAACATTCAACCCGAAACCCATTCGGGTCAAGCAATATCTTCGCCCCTTGAAGATTACAGTTTGAAAGGGCCAAATGACTTGTGGATATGTACTTGCAAATAGGCCTGCCGTAGGTCAAGGATAGCGACATCCGGTCCTTTTTTACGCCACTCCCTCAGTTTATGTGCGCACACGTCAGCATTGGTTGTGTGTGCGTCGAGACACTCATTCAGCTCTCGATAGTCTAATACTGGCCGCACTTTTATTTTTATTTTTCTGCCCCACCGCCATCAACGGAATTAAACCTTTTGGGGGACCGAGTTCCTTTTCAGGATAAGGCTGCAACAAACCGTTATCAAGCCAGGTCTGCAGCTCACGGTCGTATTCCTCCTTGACTCCCATTGGTATTGGGTACACGGGCATCCGATTTCTCAAACTCTCCGGTGATTGTCCATCCGACCACTTCCATGATGCGGCCCATATCTTCCGGCTTTGGTCGAATTCGGCACAGAAATCAGGTTCTATTTTAATAGCGGTGTAACAGACTATCCCATGCTTGGGAAACCGTACATTGCCACACTCTGTTATTTGGAGTCCGCCCAAATTTTAATGGCGTCGAACCCAAGCAACAATTCAAAACACAATATCTCTCCATCCACTACCAAGTCTTCGATTTTGAAGGGGTTTGCATTGTCCACGTCAAGCTTAATACTTGAAACTCCGCAACATTTGAGGTTATTTCCGTTTACGGTGAGTATGTCCACATCAGTCACTTGCCAGGATTGACAGGCTGACTTACTCACGAGTGTCTGTGAGCAGCCAGTGTCCACTAGTGCCACTCTCTTAATCCCGTTCACGTAAATACCCAATACAGGTCGCGCTTCATTCATAACTCGCTTAGGGGAGAGACCAGCGCTGACGTCTTGTCCCCTTCTTTTCCCTGGACACAATGAAGCAATGTGGCCTACCTCTTGACACCGGAAGCAACGCATTGTTGTGCGTGACCTGCGTGGCTGACAGGCATCTTCTCGTCGAACTGGGCAGCCCCTGGAAAAGTGATTCCACCCAGAGGATCGATAGAATCGCATACCCCTCCGACATTTAACATTTGGATGTTTATCAGCTCCACTTGGTGAAATGGTAGCCGCAACCATTTCGTCAGTTGCAATTTGATCTTTCATTATGGTCCGAGGTCGGTCCAACAGTTGATTTGTATTCATGTCTTCCATCCTGGTAACCCTGCTATGAACGCACATACTAGTCCTTGCTTGGATATCCCGCCACCAAATAGACCTGCTAGCTTCTTCAAGTCGGCTACAAACACGTCGCGGATTCGTCCGGGTGCAGTCGGCGTTCCACGAACTGCTCGTAAGCCAAGAAACGACCCGAGGCAAAGGTAATCCTCAGGGCTCGCTTCATCTGCTCGACATCTGATATTTGCTCTGAGTTTAACTGCTGGCAAACAGTTGTCTTCAGCATGTCGCAGGACAACTAAAATATAAGAAAAAGCATAATCAAATTCCAAAGTTTAACTAAATTGTAAGGTAAAAGGCAAACTATGTTTACAATTTACTGTTAATTCATTCATTTAATATAATAAGAAAATTTTATTGAATCTGATAATTTCCAGATTTTCATGTAAGCATAGAAAACAGGGTTCATATAAAGATCTACAAGTCCTTGCCGCTTTTAAAATTTTCCATTTCACCTCAGGGGTCTTATCATCTTTTAAACTCCAAAAATATTTAGAAAGTGATGTATTATTTCTGTAAGTACTGTTGGTGAAGGACAAAGTAGATTGATACTACATAGTCTTGAAATAATTCTTAGTACTACCAATATAGAATATTTCAACTCTCGGATTATCTATTGTAGAGATAATACTGAGATAAACAAGAGATTTAGTTAAACATTCCAACCACCTGAAGAAGGCCGGAGCGTACAACGGCCGAAAACTTGGGATAAATATGGCAACAAAGATGAGAAGAATAGTCCGAATAATGTAAATAGTTTACATAATACCTCAACTCAGAAAATATAGACAGATACTAAAGAAATAGTGGAACCCAGAAGGTTTACTAGACAGAATGGAATGTCTGTTGGGAGCCAAAAGTGACGTGGTGACTAATCCAAACTTTGGGCAAGACTCGCACGGTGAAGATGTGGATAGATACCGGTGATCAAGCGCCGATCAAATTGAGTCCCTATAGGACGCCCATCCACAGGTGACGCCTAGTGGAGGAGGGATAATCGAAAGATCCGTGTCGCCAGGAGCGCTCCTATAAAGTTGGTAGATCAAAAAGATGGTGGCCACAGATTCTGTGTCGATTTTAGGAAGTTGAATTCCATCTCAAAACCCCTGGCATTACCTCCGCCATTGATAGATGACATACTGGCGCTGCAGGGGAAGGCTAGATACTTCTTCCCTATAGATTTAAGATCAGGATATTAGCAGGTGGCCCTTGATGAGGCGGATAGCAAATGGCTGCCTTCGCGTGCCTCATGGGTCTTATTCAGTTTAGGGTAACGACGTTTAGCTTGAAATCCCTGGAATTATCCCTGCCATTGATAGATTACATACTGGCCCTTCAGAGGAAGGCGAGATACTTCTTCACTATAGATTTAAGATCAGGATATTAGCAGGTGGCCCTTGATGAGATTGATAGCGAGAAGGCTGCATTCGCGTACATAGGCCTTCTTCACTTCAGGGTCATGCCGTTTGGCTTGAAACCTCTGGCATTACCGGTGGAATTAGCCCTGCCATTGATAGATGACATACTAGCCCCGCAGGGGAAGGCTAGATAATTCTTCACTATAGATTTAAGAAGCAGGAAAATGTGGAGAGCCATGATTGCCTACCTCTTGAATGGACAAGGCACATAAAGAATAAGATAGAGAAAATAGAAACAAAAAGAAACTTTAGGAAGATGCAGTTTAAATTTCTGGGTCACGTAATGAGGAAGGAATGTTTGGGAAATCTGATACTCACAGGACAGAAATTAGGGAAAGAAAGTCAAAGGGAAAGCTGTCCGTAACATACTTGTTGACCGTCAGTAAATGGATGGTAGAACAGTTTTTTTGGGGGAGTGAAACTGACCCACGTAATCTCTTTCAAACTGACAAAGACCCTCCGTGCAAGCGAACTGACTATTCTCTCTCGCGTGCTGTTTTTTTATGCCGAGTTGATCTCGCTAAAAAAATTTGCATAAGCTCAACAACTCTCGCTAAATCTCCTAGCTCCGAGACCGTGTCTTTCTTAAATTAAGGTGTCAAGGCCGCCATATTTCTTTTTCCTTTCCTTTCTTTCACTCGTTTTTTACGGCAGGCATGTTACGTGCTCGCTTTGCCACACGAGGTAAGTTATCTTCTCTTCTGCGGGGAGAAATAATAAAAAGATAAAACTTATTGAGAGTTACAAGTCGCCGAAATTAAGTCCTACTTTAACATTTAGTCACATCAAAAAGAATGATCTGTCATGTAACGTGATTGTATATCTAAGGGGAGATAAGCTTCTAGGTTTGACAACGTTACATTATGAATCAACTGCAACTTTCGAGCTGAACCCTTTATTTAATCTGTGAGAAAAGATTTGGTTTGTTTCCTTGGCAACTGTAGGTATGTCTTGTTATGTTCTCTTTTTACTTCTGCTTTAATACTGGTCAGTTATTTTTTTTTACCTTGTCTTTCAAGGGTGTAGGCGATCATGGCACCCGACATAACGTTCGCATAACGACAGGTAAAAATATGCCACGGATGTGAAATCTAGGTGTGGTTTTCCCCCCTTAGACAATCACGTTACGTGTGAGATCATTGTTTTTGATGTGACTAAAAGTAGGACAATTTTGGCGACGTGATTTCCTTTGTCGTGGTTATAAGGATAATTACACTCGGCATCAAGACCTCTGATCGGGAGGTTGTGAGGAGCGTGTTGTTCTCAGGTACACTCTGACCGCGGGTGGTAGCACCTGTTAGAGTCCCAGCACCAAAACTGGGGTTAAACCATTATGAAATTATAAAAATAGATTTTTATAGTAAAAATACCATTTTTGAAAAAAAAAAGAAAAAAAAAAAAGAAAATAATTATTTATCAGCAATACATCTGACTCGAAAAAAAAACCCTCTTTACAGAAATACGGCAATAAAACCTGATCTACAAAACTGATTTCTTACCAAGAATACATATTCTATTCATACGAACCTATCCTGAAAATCTTCTCGGCATATGGTGTTGATATGCTGTAAAACAAAATAAACCAAACTTCCTTTCCCCTTACTAGACACACACAGACACAGACACGCACTCACACATCTTTTGCACACACACATTCACACACGAAAACATGCGCATACACACACACACCTTTTGCACACACACACACACCTTTTGCACATACACACACCTTTTGCACACACACACACACACACACCTTTTGCACACACACACACACACCTTTTGTACACACACACATGCGCGTACACACGCACCATTTGCACACAAACACACATACTTGCGCGCTGCAAGACACATTTGCACACACACACATTTGCATACACAAGCATGTGAACACACACATGCGTGCATCATCTTTACCCAGCTTTGCACACACATTACCGCTCTTTGTTGTGTTCACACCCAGCTTTTGCACACACACACACACACACACACCCACATGCGCGCACACACACTCAACTTTTGCACACACACACATGCGCGCGCACCACAGCCGTTTTGCACACACATGCGCACGCACATACACACCTTTTGCACACACATACGCGCGCATACACACAAACACACCCGTTTTGCACACATACATGCGCGCGCACACACACAAACGCCTTCTGCACACACTAAAACTGGGGGAATGAAGAAGCCTTAAAACCTAGTTCCTATATCGATAGTTTTTCCCTTTTTAGTTGCTTTTCTCTTTATATTTCAGGTTCTATTTTTGTATTTCATTGAACATTGTTACGACGAATTACGTAACTGAAACAGGTTGTCATACATAAGCGTTTTAAAAGCTAATTAACAAAATAACTCACGTCTATTTAGAAAGGATGCAATCAAAAGTCTTCAGTTGCAGTGAAACTTTTTCTTTTCTGTGAAAAAAGTGCTCAGCAGAACTAATATTCATATGAGTTAAGGGCAAACCCGATGACATAAATTATGGATGGACAGATAAAATAAAATCCGGTTGTGTCTACAGGGAGAAAACTCGACGTGCTCTGAAGAACTAAACTTATTAATTCAGGCCCTAGCAGTACAACCAGAAAGAAAGTGACGGCAGTGATTTTTGGTGGTTCCAGCAATGTCTTAGAAAAGAAATAGGTACGAAATTTTCATGTTATTTATATAATTCTATATATATATATGACCACTCCGAATTAGTTTGTTACAAAACTTAAAAATAAAAAATTAAAAAAAAAACAAACAAAAAAACAAAACACGTATTTTCACTCTTAAATACAACCTCATATTTTCAACGTTTTTACCAGTGAGATAATGTTTCACGTACAGTCTGGTATTTGACTGCATTCGATTAACAATTGAAACAGTCACTAATGTTTGCTTTTTGGATATTGGTTCTACTACAACCTCGCTCTCCCGTAGACTTACCTGTCACCTTTCTGATCTTAAATCTATTAAACAACATTTCTTACAAAAACATAGCCATGTACATAATATTAAACAGATATTAGTTGATAACACAACAATTATCACACATTCACACAGTAAAAAGAACATCCAGATGGTGGAGGCCATCTACATTAAAACAAAGCAACCCACACTCAACAAAATTACATTACAAACTAATCACAATACATTACATTGCATCTAGACATTGGTTCTGTTGAAATACTTCGGTCTATCTCGTGGTATGACGTCATAGAACCGCATCTTGAACTTACGATTTGCGTCTGCTATTCTGCGACCGTTTTTGTCGCATAGCAATCTTCTATATCGAAATAACAAAATATCAGCTTTGATGGTAACTGCCATATATGGTATGGGGCACCTTCTGTTTACCTCGCAGTTCTTGAGAAGATCCAGAGACGGATATGTAATATAATTGGCCCTGATCTGGCGTCTCGTCTACAGTCACTCTTTCACAGACGCGCCGTCGCCTCTCTCTGTCTTTTCTACAAATACTTTCATGGTAATTGCTCCGATGAGCTGCTTTCACTGGTTCCCAGACTCCATGAATTCAAGCGCCCTACGAGGCTGGCATCCCGCTCCCACCCTTACACTGTAGAAACTTTTAAATATAGCTGTCTCTTCTACTCCAATAGCTTCATACCTCGTATCTCTCGCCTGTGGAACACCCTTCCCAATTACTGTTTCCCTGAGAACTATAATCTCCAATTACTCAAATGTAATGTCAATCGACATCTCCAGTTACCTTGATCTACCCACTATCCTTCTCCTCACCCTTTCTTCTATCACTCCTATCTGCTCTCGCTCCAAATCTTCTGCAACCCCCTGCACCCTAGTGGCTTCACGCCTTGCTCGAGGCGTAATGCTTAAAAAAAAGTATCCATATAATCACTCTGAATATAGCTTATGTGAGCCAAAAGCTTAGATCAAGAAACAGCTTAAAAAAAATAAATCAAAATGTGGGACAATTTTTGTCTTTATTTTCATCCGAAATTAAAACAAATTATACGAACATTAGAACGGCTCCTGATCAGACATAATAGACATTCATTGCCTGTTATATTTAACAATATATGCTTAAATAATCATCTACTGCCCGAATACACTAATCTTTGCATTATGTAGTCTGTTGATTGATTTATATTTTACGGTTTATCAATCTTTTACAGGTTATTTAAAGCCAGAAAATATTTTTAAATTGTAAGAATTGTTTTCTTGGAGATAACAATAATTTACTGATAAAATTCCTATTAATTAACACATAGCTGATGAAAAAAAGAGAGGCGCATTCATACGTTTCCCAAGGCTCTTTGCACGTAAATAAATACAACGAACCCAACCGGAATTGAAACTCGGTTCTCAAATTTTTTATTTCGAACCGTTATCCATTACATCAACCACGCATCCAAGCTTAGAACGTCTGGTACTCCCAAACGGTCACCCATCTAGATACTGAACAGGTTCGACGTTGCTTAACTGTCGTGATCGTACGAGAAGGTGATATAGCTGAAAGTTTTTATGTAGCCTAACGAACATTTATTGTGATAGATGCATCAACATTCATTAAAACTGCATTCATTAAAAACAAAGCGGAGGAACTAAAGCTAGAAGTATCTGCTAGAAGAACGTATAGCGTCAGCGTTAATATTTAAATGTTCCGTTGAGATCGATGAAGAAGATAAGAAAATACGTGATGGGTAAGAAGAATTGGTGAAGAATTGGAAGAGCAAATTTAAGGCCACAAGGAAGAAGTTAAACCCCAAAGATTGAGAGAACATTTTAAGACACGGACTGAGGAAGATAAAGAAATCCAACCTCAGGTTATGAAGACAACAGAAATTTACCAATGTCTTTATAATGATTCACAAAGTAAAGCGAAAATTATTGAATATGATTCTCAGTTGAAATGCAATATTACATTAACTCGTAAGATAAACGAAGCATTAAAACTCTGCAAGAAAATTAAATTATATTATATTTTATCATGTAAATCAAATTTTCTATAATAAAATTAGTATTTTGTACATAATAAAATCTGGGTTGAAATGATGTTATGGCCTTATTAGGACCAGAAATAAAGACACAAAGAGGGGAATTGAGTTAAACAAATATATTGACAGAAACAGTAATACAAACATATACAATCGTGAGTGTTAGAGCAAGTATGTTCGGAGATGACTGCTAGAAACTTCCCTCTTCAAAAGGCAGTACCTGCTCCTATTTATAGTTGGGAGAGTCCATGCGTGAGTGGGTAAATTACCTTAACAAATTGTTTCTAAGTTGATGTTGCCTTCATTTGTTAAGTTAATTTAACAAAAATCTTCAACCAATATGAAATCCAATCCCTTCACATTTCTTAAATATTACCTGAGATCAAGTGTCGCATAATGTTTAATTTAATACTGACTAGCAGTAGAGCCCGGCGTTGCCCGGGGATGGAACAGTAAGAGATAGATCAAATATCGACCATCATAAAGACTGAAAAATAAAATTGACAAAGATTATTGTTTAAGGTTGACGGACACGCATGTCTTAATTAGTTCTTTTTTGTTTTTTTTTACGAATTGGTCAAAGCCAAAAACTCAAACGAAAACATTGTTTTCAATCGTTATGAGTCTACCGATTGAATAGAATTTTATTATAAACAATTATCTTATAAATGGAATTTTTAAAGCATTCTGAATGTAAAAAATAAAGAAAAAGTGTGTAAGACAATAAAAACACTGCCAAAAAAAAAAAAGTGAAGTTTTTGTTGAAATCGGTTTGAAAAATGTAGGAAATCCGATCCCATATATAAACGAACACACAACAACACACACACACACATAACAACAAACCTGGGTTTTATAATAAGTATAACTCGATATGAGTTGTCCCCGTTTCATTCTCGCGATGCCTCGTAATCGTGTTTTTAAATTGATTTCATGCAAAAACAATTATGTTTTTCCAATTTGTGGCGCTGTCAGAACCACCGCAAGGTAATTTTACGTAGTCCTGTGAAGTTTTGTTGAAATCGGTTGAAAAATGTAGGAAATCCGATCCAATATATAAACGTACAGACACACACACAACCTATAATAAATATGATTAAAGTAAACATTAACTTTATAATAGTCCAATTTGCGTTTAACTTCATGAAGATGCCACTTTGCTGATGCATACTCATTATCTGGGCAGAGTCATCAACAGTTGCGTCGCACGCCGGCTGTGTAAGCTCTGCTTCCTTTCGTATTTTGTCATGACATCGCTGCTATATCCTGGTTTGCACTAGACTCGATCAAGGCCACATCGATGGTTAGGCTATGTTCTTCGGCAAGCCCCTCCAGTTCTGAGTCCGACGTCTTATTAGCAACTCTGTGGACTCTTTAGTGCACACTTTCACCCTCCCGGTCAGTGTGTCAGAGATCCACTGGTGCACACATGATGTATCTCTTAGCAGGTGCAGCACCGTTGCTTTCCATTGGAATGCTAGATTAATACCTCTCAACACCGAATCCAGCTCATCAAGATTTATATGCTGTGAGTCCTCTGTGGCCCAATCGGCTAAGGCACGTCAGGCTATATAACGGTTCCGTATAGGATAAAGGTTCGATTACTGTCGGAGGACGAATATTTTCTATGAAAATTTCTCGGACATTCATGCCAGTAAATGTTGTTTAATACTGTTTATTTACTTAAATACTTGTATCTATAAAAGAATGTATAAATATTAAAAAAAAATGTCTTAAAATAATTGTCGGACTTTGTCCCTTTCATAATGTGTGACGTCATTTGTTTACATTTGGATAAGCATTGAGCAGATAGGAATGTACGTGAGAGATTCATGGAAGATTGTAGTTTAAAAGCAGTAAATTCGATCTTGTTAACCGAACGATCCTCTGTGGCCCAATCGGTTAAGGCACGTCAGGCTATATGACGGTTCCGTATAGGATAAAGGTTCGATTTAGGCCGGTAAATGTTATTAATACTGTTTATTATAAACAGAGCATTTACTTAAATATTTGTATCTATAAAAAGAATGTATAAACATTAAAAATGTCTTAATATATATATATATATATATATATATATATATATATATATATATATATAAAGAAAAAAATACTTAACTGTAAATCTCAATTTTGATATTGTTTCCCCGACTTAAAAGTTTCTTGGAATTATTCATTTATTAAGAGTCCCCTTGAAAAATGGATAATTCCAAGAAACATTGAAGTCGGACAAACAACCTCAAAATTGATATTTACACTTAAAGAATTTTTCTGTATATAATATTACCTATACTTTATTTTTATATTATTTTAATATTTTTTGAGCACTATATGAAAATATCTGCTTCACTTTTGAACTAGTATATTGTTAAATCTTATGCATATATTAAAATACTTAGTGTTTATACGTTTTTTATGGATACACTTATTGGAGTAATTACTCTGTTTTTTTTAATTAAACAATCTTAATTGCATTTACCGGACAGAATGTTCGAGAAATTTCGGACAAAATATGCGTCTTCCGACAGAAATTGACCTTGCATCCTATACGGAACCGTCATGTATCCTGACATGCTGTTACCGTTCTGCCACAGAGAACTTCCGGTTTTACACTGCTCAAGTTACTGCTTTTAAGCAAACACCTACGCCGATCTTTCTCGATCTATTATATTGAGAACATTCAGCCCGGTAAATGTAATTAGTACTGTTTAATTTAAAAAAAAAAAAAAAAAGAAACAGTATTTACTCAAATAAATGAATTCACATTAAAATATTCGTCGGATTTAATGCATTTCAGGTCTGAAGATGGCGTCCAAGTATGAAGCAGACTGTCGCCAGTCGGTTTTGATTTCAGTATCTATTTTTCACATATTATACCGGGTGTCCGTAAAGTTCGTGTGCACTTTAAAAATTTATAACTTTATTTGTATTTGCGATAGAAATAATTTGTAAAAAGGATTAGAAAGAAGTAAATCTATATTTTTTAAGGTTTTATTGAAATTTTATTTAAGTTTCCACATGTCCTCCATCATTAGCAATACAAAAGTGAAAATACGATTTTGCAGTTCACGGAAAACATTTGCCAACTGATTTACAGTAATGACTGAAATCACATTAGTTATTTTAGCTATACTTAAAACTGAGTACATTAAACTTTATAAAATGTTTAACAGGTTATTTCTATCGCAAATACAAATAAAGTTATAAATTTTTTAAAGTGCACACGAACTTTATGGACACCCTGTATTTATATACGCTCTATCATTTCGTATTCATATATATATATATATATATATATATATATATATATATATATATATATATATATATATATATATATATATTATATATATTTCATCATTATTCATATATATATATATATATATATATATATATATATATATATATATTATCTAAAAGTATAGATGAAAAACTAAAGAAAAGCTTTCTGAACGACTGTTTTTTCACCCATTCTGAAATCTGGGGGAGAGGGGTCTTGTCTAGACTACATTTGGGAATATTTCAATAAGAAAAGCAGAAAACCATGAGAAAAAATGAAACAGTCGGATGAATTTTATGAATTTCCAGAGCCAAAAATCTAAAAACATTAAAGATTTTTTCTCAGAATCCTATCGATTATCGATATGAACAAAATTTAACATACGTAAAAAGAAAAAAAAATCTCTAAATTTGCCAATCATTTTCACGACGGACATTTGCAAAATATATTCAAATCTCATTTTATAGCCTGATTTTTTGGAAGCAGTAACTAGGAATTTCTTACGAATGTAACTGATCGATGTTCAAACCCAGGCTAAAAATCAAGGATTTCGAATGCTGATTTTTTAGGCAGAAACGTTATTTCCCATGTAAAATCTTCTTATAATTTATTTTAGTCTCAGGCGTGTTTTCCAGAAAGAAAAAAAAAGATTTTCAACTCTGTCTTCTCTCTATCCGCTGATTTCACTATCAGTTGCGGAAGACTCAAAAGTGATGGTTAAAGCGCCCGAACCTATCTACTGTTGATTACGAACATTTTCAGTACCCCCTTTTATTCCCTCCCCAATCTAGTTTCACACACGCGCGCACTAGTCTCATAGATATTAGTGAAATATACTGAAAAAATTTAGAAAACCGTAGAAAGTTGTTCATACGCCTGAAAATTTATATATATATATATATATATATATATATATAATTTAAAGAAAAACAGACCACTTTAAGGTTCCATTTTTAATAATTTATTTCACCAGAGAATTTTATTTTTCTCTGGATCTTCAGACATCACTTTCAAAAGGTGAAACGAAAAATGAATTTAAAATTTACTCTTTTGACGGGCAGTATTAAGCTTATATAAGTTGACATAGAGGGTGATGAGGAATGGTATATATATTTTTGAGATGAGGTATTATGTACACTATTTACATTATTCGGACTACTGTCCTCATCTTTGTTGCCATCTTTATTACAACGTTTTGGCCTTTCAGTATCTGTCTAAATTTCTGAGATGAGGTATTATATACACTATTTACATTATTCGGACTATTGTCAGCATTGTCGCCATATTTATTCCAACGTTTCTTCAGGTGGTTGGAATGTCGAACTTAACCCTTTATTTCGCTCACTGGGGTAGACTTTCTAGTTCCACGTGCCATGTTTAATGGATGTCACTTGTCAGTTATCTCCTGTTAATTCTCCTCTCAAAGTTCTCCATGGCTTTAAACGGGTATTGAACTCACACTCTTTGCGTCCTGTCACTGGATCTAACTAACGCCTTTATCCATTGCGCCATGTGTCCTCAACATGTGACAACTGATATCCATTAAGCATCGCAAGTCGAGCTAGAGCATACTCCAGAGAGCGAAATAAAGATTTCAGTTCGATATTCCAAACACCTGAAGAAGGCCGGAGCGTACAACGGCCGAAACGTTTGTTAAATATGTCGACAAAGATGAGGACAATAGTCCGAATAAATATAAATATATATATATATATATATAAATATATATATATGATGTTTTTGTGTGCATGTATTAGTCATGGCTCTCCACAACTTCCTGCCTCTTGTAGCGCTTAGTAAGGTTTATATTTTGGCTATTCTTCCCAGTCTCTGTTCTGCCATCCTTTTACACAACTTGTTAGGTAGGTTGATCTTGGCTCTCCACAACTTCCCATAATTTGCAGCTCTTAGTAAGGTTTGCCTTTTTACTATTTTTCTGTTTTGCCAACCATTTCCTCAACTTCGTCAGCAAGGTTGATAATGTCTCTCCACAACTTCCTATCCTTTGTAGCTCTTAGTAAGGTTTATCTTTTCACTATTCTTCCCACTTCCTGTTCTGTAGTTCGTTTTCACAAGATTGTTGGGTAGGTTGATCATGGCTCTCCACAACTTCCTATCTCTTGTAGCTCTTAGTAATATGTCCTGGGTATAAAAATCGTATATAAGTCTTTTTTTTAACTTGAAATTGCAATAACAATAATTTCTGTCTGATTTTCTGGGATGACGTGTTATGGTTATTAACATTCGGACGAATATCCTCATCTTTATTACTATCACAACGTTTGGCCGTTGTGCTCTCCGTCCTTCTTCAAATCCTGGTAATCTTCAGAAAATTTGGAATCGGCGCATTTAGATTCTTCTCGTTCCACTCAAGGGATATCTGTGCTTTTTCTGATAATACTCAGTGGTAGCTACTGAATCTCAGTCTGTCCTACCCGGCGCAGGGATTGAACCCGCAATTACTATGTCTCCAAATTCACAAACCAGCACTTTAATCCATTAGGCTACAGACACAGAAGTAAAAATATTCTATACCGCATCGCAAATGAGTCTGCCAATAAAAGATAACGATCCTGCTTTCCCTCCCGAGGTTATAAGATACCCCCGCAACACCATGAATTGTTACGGAACCAAAATAGTAACCAGAAAACTTGATATATGTTTATAAATAGCCTCTTCAGATCAAGATTTTCATACAGATGTCATGCATGGCGCTAAACCGTTGAAAAATATCTAAACAGTCAATTGTTTCCAACTGCTTCCGAAGATCAATGGTGAAAAAATTGCTTTGACGTGGGTAAAGACTGAGGATCATGGCAAAGATCATCTTTCTTTGAGCAATGAGTACTGGCGTTACAAAAAAAAAAACAAAAAAAAACTACCAATTAACAGAAAACACATTACTTGAGGACTACCAACAGCAGCAATAACTAGAATGGATAACACATCGAAAAGAAAATAATGACATAATCAAGATATAAGCATTCCACGCAACTTTAAATAAAAGGTTCGAAGGAAAAACGTCATCAATACTGAAAAGCCATAAAAGCTACTTGACTTGAGAAACCTGTTTTCCTAAAAAAAGTGTTTTAAGAGAAATATTTTTATAAATTTCAACTAAAAACAGTAGCGGCTACTCGGTCAATGAACGTCAAATGTTTCCTTGTAGGAAAACGGCTATTATTACCATTGCCATTCTTAATCCAATCTTGGATCAAGACCGTGTCTCCTCACGCCTACTTTTCTTATTGCCTGCCTGCTGCTGCCACTGTGGCTGTCACGCGTGACCTCCTTGACATCAGCTGGGTATGGCCTAAAGGGAAATAAGAAGAAATGAGAGTAGAAAGATTATGTTGCATCAGAATTTCAAGTCTTCCTGCTTTGAAAATAAATTGTGCTCGGGTTTTTTCTAAGCAATGTTTTAAAATGGATATTGATATATTTTTATCAATTCTGCCAGCATTTGAGCCTCATTGAATCGTGCGTAATTTTCCCCTTTAAAATAAATAAAACGCCCTCGTCTATCTCTGGGCTTGCCTGAATAAATTTCATATTTTTTACTAAAAGATGGACTTGATTGTAAGAAATCTGGTTAAGTTAATGAAGCATGACATTAAATAAAATGTTCGCGTTTTATGCAATTTCAAAAACTCCAGCCGGAACAGATTTCATTTTATTAGACGTAATATCGTAAGAAAGTTTCAATGAACTAAAGCTTAAATATACAGTACTAACGTTTTAGTTTCTTTCTTTTGTATTTTCTTATCTATCTATCTATCTATCTATCTATCTATCTATCTATCTATCTATCTATCTATCTATCTATCTATCCCAGTCTGTTCATACCTACCTACCTACCTCCCAACTTACTTCTCTATCTACCTACCAAGTCTCTTATCAAGTCTCTTCATATCTATCTATCTATCTATCTATCTATGGTATCTATATGAAATCTATCTATCTATCTATCTATAAATGACTCTTCAGTATCTATCTATCTATCTATCTATCTATCTATCTCTTTATCTATCTAAGACTCTTCAGTATCTATCTATCTATCTATCTATCTATCTATCTATCTTCTATCTATTTATATGATTCTTGGTTTCTATCTATCTATCTATCTATCTATCTATCTATCTATCTATCTATCTATCTATCCCAATGTTCTATTCATACCTACCTACCTACCTACCTACCTACCTACCTCCCAACTTACTCCTCTATCTACCTACCAAGTCTCTTATCAAGTCTCTTCATATCTATCTATCTATCTATCTATCTATCTATCTATCTATCTATCTATCTCAGACTCTTCAGTATCTATCTATCTATCTATCTATCTATCTATCTATCTATCTATCTATCTATGTTCATATCTATATATCTATCTCATCATATATATGAATGGATCTAGGCTCGTAATATCTGACAAGAAATTAATCAACACGTACCAGCCAATACTCGGCAGGGTAAATTAGACAATATGCAGTTTAATTCACGAAGATCGTCGATAACAAATAATTTATTAAACAAGCATCAATGTGTGCTGTCCAACAAACAAGACATATTCTTGGTATTGAAAAAAGGTTCACTCTGATTTTTTAAGACATTTTAGAGTCAATTTTGGAGTCCCAACAGCCAACCATTTGTAAACAGAAGGAGTGTTTTTTAAGGTAAAATATAAATAACTTTTGATGTTGATGAAATTATTAAATAGTATTCAGTCGTTGGCGTTTTTCGTTTTACTTGCTTTGTACATTTCTCCTGTGCATTTCATTAACGGATCTCCGAGGAGAGAGTATTGATAAATTGGTTAAGCTATAGTTCTTTTGCATTTCGATGCTAACTTTTTACGTGAATGTAAACATTTTTGGTACTTTTTGTCATTAATCCATCTTGTTTTAATATGCCTGTTTAATTGGATATTTATATATATATATATATATATATATATATATATATATATATATATATATATATAATGAATTTTTTAATTATGATTATTTCCAATCCTCTTAAAATTATTTCTGTATATCCATGCTTGAACCGGCTTTTAATGCTCTGGACTGAGCGGCTTGGGGATGGTAGTCGTGGCTCGTAGGGGCACCATCCTATGGGTAAAAGAGAAACTCGGATGAGTTCCACTACGGAATATATGATCGAGCGGCGCTATATCAAGTCTAGTTCGTTACCTCTTCATCACCGAGACTCGTTGGTACATTTGGTATGGGGTTTGCCTCCTATCGTAACTGTTCGTCTTTCAGTTCTCGGTAGTGGACAACTGATGAGTCCCAAATATAGGACGAAACGGCCGTCCAGTTCTTTCTGCATTCTGTTGAGGTTTCAACATATATATATTTCTTTAAACGTTATTATAGTGGACAAATTGTTTTTGAAATGGACGCCTTATTTTTATCTATCGGTCTGCGCAATCCAGAAATCTTCGTAAAGAATATTTTAATAAAGAAAATTTCTCGAATGCGTAAACCGATAGACGTAATATGAACTGATTAATAGATAGAAAACAGGTCGTCTATTACGAATAAGATGTGTCCGCTATAATAACGTTTGTAGAAATATAAAATGTTGGATTAAAAATAAATCCATTCAGTCTTTAGATAAAACATATATTGCGTTTTGTAAATGTACATATGGATTTCCTTTTAGGGACTATCACTGCGGATCAGTGACATCTGGAATTTAACAATATATATATATATATATATATATATATATATATATATATATATAAATTCTAAATTCATACAAATAGGTCTGATGATTTGGATCGTGATTTAGATTCCAATGAAATAAATTATAACCATGGAATATTAGTGTTTGAGCCTTTTATATTATATTCTTAGTCTGTCCTGGACATTGGGTTCTACCTGGATTCTATCCTATTTGGAATTTTATATATATATATATATATATATATATATATATATATATATATATATATAAAAATATTGACCACTAATATTTCAATCTCTCTCTCTCTCTCTCTTTATATATATATATATATATATATATATATATATATATAAAATCCTCATTGAAAACACAATTATACTTAAACATAAAAACAATAAAAAAAAACTATATACATAAAACTGATGAAACCTAACCTAAGCAAAATCAACTATGGAATCTCCTCAAATATTCTTAAATGTCTATAATTGGTATCAGAAGCCATTGGTTTATACGAACGGCTTCCCATGCTTAATACTTCTCAAATTCACTCTCGCGTGGTCATATGTGACGTCCTGAGCTCCGGTGCGATTTTTGCTTCCAGCGTCTTATATGCACGTGTTTATCGTTGCTTGGAAATCATCCATGTAAACAGAAACAGACTATCATCACTGTCTTGTCCGTTTATTGCTTAATATATTGTAATGTAATTGACATCTTTGATAATGACTTATGTAAGCCGAAAGCTTAGATTGGATTAAAAATATGGATCAATATTGTGATTTTCTTTCTTCGTTTAATGATAATGTTATTAAGCTTATCAGACGTTATGAAAAGAATTTACATAAAATAAATAGACAACACTTGTCTATATTATTTAATGAAACATGTATGAATATATATATATATATATATACTGGCTTAAATATATATATATATATATATATATATATATATATATATAGTCTTATATATATATAAATATCATAGCGATTGAAAAAATGTTCGTCTATAAACATCTGAAAATAAGGTACTGAATAGAACACATACAGTCATAATTAAGGTGCCAAATTTTACTTTTGTAAATCAGACTTTGCATTTTATATATATATATATATATATATATATATATATATATATATATATATATATATATATATATAAAATGTGTATGTAAACAAATGAAAGAGATCATATAGAGAGAAAGGAAAGATATTCTGTAAAATTATTTTAAGCATATACAAATATACACATTATTTATAAATTTGACAAATTTTCGATTTATATTTTTATGGTTGATAAACCGATCGATACAGTATTAAGCAATCAATCAGCGAATTAATAAATCAATTAATTTGTTGTTATTTAACAAAAATCTATATGGAATTAGGAACTAAATATTTCGTTACGGTTTTGAGGAAAATTTAATTTTAAATTGCATTCTGCGAGATCTTTGAATTTAATTTTAACATATACCCCCTCCACACACACATTTAAATTTACAGGACAGGCATATATTAATATATATATAAATATATATATATATATATATATATATATATATTTATATTTTTATGGTTTTTTTAAAACAAAGTTTCATATATATTCAGAAAATGGGAATTATTCTAGAAATTTATTGTTTGAAAATTTAAAACAGAGTTTTGCATCAAAAAAAATCAATTTCCTGAAAGTTGTTTATAATTTATAGACATATACAGGGGATTTCAAGATATATATTTTGTGAAACATATTTTTATATATAATATATTTCATGTTTGTTGTTATTATCATATATATTTCAACTGTTGTGCTAGACATTTACTTCGATCAGGTGTCTTTCATCCGGGTAACCTTCGGAGAATTTAAAATTGAAAATTTATAATAAAAAATGGAAATATTTGAATATATATATATCTTGATTTTGTTTATATTTTGTTTTAATACTGTCCTTTATTGAATGTTTGTAAAATTTTAATTTAATTTGTCCTGACTGGAACCGTTCAATGTTTTCTATGATATTTACTCAGATTGACAACACCCGATGAATACTGGAGAGCAAATCGATCAAAATATTTATTGTTCCATCTATTTTTATCAGCTTCTATAATTGCTTTTTTGATTAGCCAACCTTTTATAATTCCAGTATCAATTTTATTAAATAATAATATAAATATAACCATTATTTTTTGAAATAGTATAAAATCCTCTGTCTCAACAGAGTCAGGTTGTTTTTTTTTCAAATTTTTAACGTTATTATTGAAAGTTGGTAAGGATGGTCTTTTTTTGGGCTTTTTTGAATCCCAAAGTGATTGAAAAAATCAGACCTATTCTAAAAAAGTCAAAAGATTTGATATTTATCTTTTAAAGGACGGAAAAATGAAAGAATTAAGTATTGAAAATCATTCAAAAAGATTCATTTCCAAATGACTGAAATATATCTTTATTCTTATCAAATATAAGATAAAACGAGAATTCACATTGAGAAAAATAAAATTAAAACGAAATTTAAAAAAGGTTTAGGATTTTTATATTCAAAAAAACAGTTTTTTTTTTTTTCAGAAGATATATATATATATATATATATATAATATATATATATATATAAATATTTACACAAATATATATATCATTTTGTGTTTTGTTCAAGGCAACATTTTTTTATTTAATGTTGCATGATAAAAATTTCCATTAAATAATATAGACAAGTTTTGTAAATTTTTTAAAGTAAATTCCTTTCATATTGTCGAATAAGCAAATTTTAGCATTATCACTGAAACACGAAAGAACAACAACATGTTTATACCTGTTTTTATAGTTAATCCTGTCTAATATTTTCAATATATATATATATATATATATATATATATATATATATATATATATATATATATATATATATATATATATTATTTATTTAACTATGATTGGGGTAATAGTTAATATCAGAAATTTGTCTTGTTACAAAAATTTTGGTTTGTAAAAATTTGAATCGTTTCCATACTTACAGATAATGTGCCACACCTATTGGGGGACATATTACTCATATGTAAATTTCGACATTTCGAAAAGTTTCATATTTCAGTTTTAGGTTTTTTTTACACATGATATCAGTGTTTCTAACTGTTTTTTTGGGGAAAAATTTATCCTGTAATTTGCCCAAGTTAAAGTCAAGTATTCTTTTGACATTTGATATTTTAAACTGTTTGTTAAAAAATCTTTTGTCTTTAAATGAATAATCATTGTATTTGATTCTTTCCTCAATATCGACCTCTCTAGAAGAAATAGCAGATTCTTAAGAATCCCTTTAAATGAAATCTTTGAGAATAGTAAACCAAGAATCACAACTATGAAAGATAATATTCTTTGCCAATAACATATCAAAGCTCTGGTCTCAAATCAGCAGGCTTAAATATACAATGTAATGTCTTTAAAATAAATGCTAATTTCAGGAGACTTCTTTATCGTTTTACTTTTTCGAATTTCACAATTAACTCTTCCTCATTAAAATTTAAAGTGTGCTCAAGAGTCTTAGTTATTCTACAAGTGTACCCTGAAGAAAAATGGTTGAGAAACATTCCATTAAACAGATTTTAAATTTTATAAAAATTTTTGTCTTTTTTTATTTCTTCCTGGTTTTTTTTTTTTTTATATATATAAAGAGAACAAGGATAGAAAGAAAAAGAAAAAAAAAGAAAAAAAATATTAAACAGTCTCAAAAATAAACAGGGATAAATTAAGTGAAAAAAATAAACATAATTGAGACGTTCTACGTATGGACTCAAACTATCCTTACCTTCACGTAAACGAATGGCCTTTTTCTCCCCAGATGACTTGATTTTCTTTAACCTCATTTGTCTATCACCGCAGGGCCTTTGTAATTGAGTGTCTTGTTAATAAATAACACAATGTCCGTTAATATTGATGATATATATTTGTTGGCTTTTCCCACAGCAGGGACAAATTTTAAAAATAATATTCGAAATGCGATAATTATATAGTGACCTTTTAAAATATCTATCTTTCTCTTCCTTATTGATTTATCGATTCACTTCAAGCTAACACGGTCTTAAATCTCGGATCGTCTCTTGTATGAATTCACGAATAGGTTAGCAAATATAAAAAATTGGTGAATCGTTATAAAAATAAATAAAAGTCATCCAACAAAAATTAAAACTAACCTTTTGTGATTACATTAAATTTTGAAAAAAAGGAAAAGAAAAAAAGAAATAACAAATTGATAAACGAAAAATTAAGGACAAAAAAATGAATGTAACATCTAAGCTTTGTAATAAATTTTCTGTCTGTTAAAGAGAAAATGCAAGGTGAGCGTTTGGAAAATCTTCATAAATAAAAACGTTTTAAATTTAATTAATTTTTTTGTCGGGAATTGACCCCATGAGGGAGGTTTTAAAAAGATAAAATATTTTTTTCGGAAAGTTTCAAAAAAAAAGGGAGAAAATTTAAAAAAGAAAAATTTTGGAAAAATTTTTCAAAGTCTTTCTTCTGAAGAAAACTTAAATTAAATAGCTAAAAATATTAAATTTATAAAAGATATCCAATTGTTCCTTGTTTAATCATCAAATCACACATACATATATATATATATATTAAATTATTAATTATTCTTTGTTTTATATATTTTATATATATATATAGATATATATATATATATATATATATATATATATTTTTATAATCCGGAATTAATTTTTCTTATCTATATAAATATATATATATATATATATATATATATATATATGTATATATATATAAATATATATATATATATATATATATATATATATATTACGACATATATATGTAATAAATGTATATACGTGAACATTTATGAATTGAATACTCTGAGGCGATAAAATTTCAAGCTAAACTCAAAAAAATTATGATATATATATGATGTCTGCGTTTAAAAAATAAATAATTTTGACAAAATCAAGGTATTATCAATATTCAATTTTATATTATTCATACGTCTATCTCTAATATAGCTTTATCACATAAAAAAATAACGGGACTTAAAAATATATTTCTAAATGAACAAATTTAATTACGTATCCTCAATATATATATATATATATATATAATATATATATATATATATATATATATATATATCTATATATATGTGTGTGTTTATGTATGTGTGTGTGTATATTTATATAAAAGGGGTAATATATATATATAAATATATATATATATATATATATATATATATATATATATATATATATAAAAATCATGTTGATCCTTTACAGGAAAAGATAGTCAAGATAAACATTCGATATAAAATTTAAGAGTTGCAGAGTAAGATACATATTGGATAAATATATTTAGAGATAGATAATCAAATTAAATAATGCTTTCAGTATTTTATACATTATATATTCCTTGGATGTATTTAAATATTATATATATATATATATATATATATATATATATATATATATATATATATATATATATATATATATATATATATATTAATGCATGTTTCATTAAATAATATAGACAAGTTTTGTCTATTTATTTTAAGTAAATTCCTTTCATATTGTCTGATAAGCTTAATAACATTATCATTGAAAGACGAAAGGAAATCACCATATTGATACATGTTTAAATCCAATCTAAGCTTTCGGCTTACATAAACCATTATCAAAGATGACAATTACTTTTCAATATATCAACCAATACACGGACGAAACAATAATGATAGTCTGTTTTTGTTGCATGAAAAATTTCAAAGCAACGAGAGACGCGGAAGCGAAAATCGCGTCGCAGCTCATGACGTTACACATGACAACACCAGAGTGAAAACGAGAAGTATTAAGTTGTATGGGAAGCCGTATATATATATATATATATATATATATATATATATACATATATTGATACAAATAGAATTTGTCACTTAGCTGAGTGATGTTATGTGCGTCTGTGTGCGTGCGAGCGTGGCTGTATATTTCTAAAAATTTATTCTTATTTATTAATCCGACATATTTTTATCACGTTAAACATTATTTTTAGTGGTTGCCCATATTATAGTAAACGCTCCGTTCATTTTTTAAAAACTGTATATTTACTTATTTTCGTCTACCGGCCTGAATATTCTAGAAAACTTATTAAAGAGGAACATGGGCATTCACTAAAATTAACGTTTACATTGATCGAAAAATATGTCTGATTATAAAATAAAAATCCACTGTGATTCTGGTCTTGTACCACATTTTTGGTATTTATACAAAATAAATATGCCCTGACGATTGTATAAGCATGAAACAGACTCTCGTTGCTGAAGGTTGATATATATATATATATATATATATATATATATATATATATATATATATATATATATATATATATATATATATCTTATGAAATGGACAAAGTCCGACAATTAATTTTAAGACATTTTTTATGCTTATACGTTCTTTTTATAGATACAAATATTTAAATAAATGCTCTGTTTATAATAAACAGTATTAACAACATTTACCGGCCTGAATGTCCGAGAAATTTTCATAGAAAATATGCGTCCTCCGACAGGAATCGAACCTGTATCCTATACGGAACCGTCATATAGCCAAATGTAAACAAATGACGTCACACATTATGAAATGGACAAAATCCGACAATTATTTTAAGACATTTTTGTGTTTATACGTTCTATTTTTATATATATTATTAATCTCTCTCGCTCTCTCTCTCTCTTTTATGTGTAGAAACTTTAGAAATCCGCTGGCTTGGTTTCAACGTTTCGTTTTCTTCAGGTGAAAAGGAAACATATTTTATGTCTATTGAATTCATCCGTTGTCTTTTCCAACCTGCGAATAACCTTCAGTTTGCTGCTAAAGCCTTTGTATCCGAAAAACAACTATCTGTCTCAGTCTGTCCATTATCTATCTATCTATCTATCTATCTATCTATCTATCTATTGCATTCTGTTAATATCTTTTATAATTCTGTTCATTCATCTATCTGTTATAATCTATCTATCTATCTCAGTCTGTTCATTATTCATCTATCTATTATCTATCTATCTATCTATCTATCTATCTATCTATCTATCTATCTATCTATCTATCCAAGTTTGTTTATTTTGATATCTATTAAACTCATTTACGTCTTCTTAATTTATAAACTCATTTACGTCTTCATTCATAAAAATTCATTCAATAACCGACGAATAGGAAAAATTATCCGTTTGAAGAAAAAGTGTCCGTTCGAAGACTGAGTAATTGTATGAATTTGCAAGAAAAGAGTTTTCATATCAATTTTCATATAATTTTCGTATAAAAAATGTCTCGATTGAGTAACTAAAATACTTTTAAACAGTGACAATCTCTTAACATTTGAAGCTGTTAAACTGACACTCGATTTTCAGACAGTTGACCATTCTTAAATTAGAATATTAAATCGACTTTTAAAGTCTCTTGACCTTTACAAAGTTGTTCAGTTGAATATTGAATATTGAACATTATCAAATGATTGTTTCAAACTGCAATTAAATGAAAGGAAACGTAATGTCATGTCTATCCATAAAATTACTTTACTAATGAGACTATGAATAAATATATAAATAAAAAAAATGGCAAAAATGCCGAAAGATGATTTCAATAACTCTTAGAGAAAAGTGTTAAAGGGTAAAAAGAAGAAAGGGTTCTTAATTGGATACAGACATAAGGAATGACTGTCAGCGAAAAAGACACGCTAACATGTATTGTAGCCGTCAAAATCATGTTGGTGCACTAATTTGACTATCTGGTTAGTTTAGTAAGTGAAGCACAGAAATCAAAAGGCTCTTTGGAATAATGAAAGATGTCTTTTAGAAACAAAGCAAAGTATTAAGAGATAGGATGACGTCATTAGAAGCGAGAACAAAGATGGATGGATTGCTGCTATGTAATATCGAATCTTTGATATGGTAATGAAAGTTGGACAATTTAAAGATGACGAAGAGAGAGTTTTCGACAGACAGAGAGAGAGAGGGTTAAAGCGACAGAGAGAAAGAAGGGGAGGTTGAAGCGACAGAGAGAGGGGGAGGTTCTGCTGGCGAATGCCGAGTTCTGTATTATCCGAGCAACGAAGACGTTTTAAGTAAAATACAAATTACAGAGAATAGATTCAAACAATCAAAAAAAGCTAAAAGGAAAAGGATGCTTGGAGAAAATTAAATACCAGAGGACATATTGAACGTGAGAGAATCATTTAGGGAAACAGGATGTTTAAAAACGAATCGATGAAAGAACAAGGACAAAGGGAAAAAGGTCAAAGGTTGCAACAACAAAAGGTATAAAAATTGAAAAAACAGGAAAATTTGACATATTGAAAAATGGAAATGAAAGATCATTTTTTATTAACGCAGAATATAGGATGTTTATATTTGATAATCAATTGATATTGAAATAAACGTGGACAAAAATTTGATTTAATTGAAAAAGGTCATTTAATCTAATTTGCAATAAACAAATAAATTCAATAAAATTGAAAGAATGAATAACTTTTTATCCAGTTTTATGGGAAATTAAGAAAAAGAAAAATTAACAAAAAAGAATTATCTATCTATCTATCTATCTATCTATCTATCTATTTATCTAATATCTATCTCATTCTGACATATCTATTTCAGGCTGCACACATCTATCTATCTATCTATCTATCTATCTATCTATATATATATATATATATATATATATATAAATGGAATATTTTATGTTTATACTCTCGTGTCGTCATGTGTGATGAATGGATCATTATTACAGAACGTCTCATATATTTGTTGGAAATTTTTATATGCAACAAAACAGGGGTTTTGTCTGTGTATTGTTTAATTCTTTTAATCGTCATCTTTAAACGTGGAAGCAGAAAATATTAGGATTAAAAAAATTTCAATATTATTTAATGTTTTTTGATCATTTAATCTTATGAGACAATATTTTTAATTTACATTCGAAAAAACTTGTCTACATTATTTTGAAACAAATCAAATTCTATCCCTCCTTCCTCTCTCTCTCTCTCTTATATATATATATATATATATATATATATACAAATATATGTGTGTGTGTGTGTGTGTGTGTGTGTAATGTGTGTGTGTGTGTGTTTGTGTCTAAATATAGAGAAAATAGGAAAGAACTTGTTAGGTAAATAAATCTAATAAAAATAGTGGATACAATTTCACCAATTATAGAAACAATTGTACTAACCATATCTAAACAGGAAAAAAAAATATTTATACCTTCAATTCTAATTCAAATAATTATATTATCTATCTTGTTTAGAAACATTTGAAGAACTCATAAGCGTTGGAATCATATATTTTAAATAAATAATCTATATATCTATCTATCTATCTATATATATATATATATATATATCTATCTCTGTCCTATCTATTTATCTATCTATCAGTATCTATCTATCTATCTCTCATCTATCTGTCTATCTATCTATCTATCTAGTCTGTCTATCTATCTATCTATCTATCTATCTATCTCATCTGTATATATATATATATATATATTAAATCTATCTATATAATATATAAATATATATATATTAACTTCATAAAAGTAATCATATTATTCAATTTTATCGATTATCTTTAAGAATGTTTGTCGGAATTACTTTTTTTGCCTGTAGTGTTAGATTCTAAAATTACTCCTTTGTTCAACATTAAAACATCGTCAGTTGGTGTGGATTGTTTTCGTCTCACTTGGTGCTTATGAAATTATTTAAACAAGGCTTCAAATACCACATATCTTCGCAGTTGTATTATCTCCCATCTTTTGTTTATTGGCGCCACATAATCTTTAAAAAAAAAGGATGTAATATATTCCTTTATTAGATAATGCGTTGGGGAGGACATTCCGAAATACCATTTATGAAAATCATATAGCATAACAATCATGAGAAAGTCAAAACTTCTTTCTTTCTTTCTTTCTTTCTTTCTTTCTTTCTTTCTTTCTTTCTTTCTCTTTCTAACTCTCCCGATTTTCTTTCTTTCTCCGTCTATCTTTATTTCTTTACCTCTCTTTTTTTCAGAGTCTTTACCCCCCTCACTTTTCGTACTATTTCTTTTTTTCCTTTTTTTTCTCTAACTTTTTCATTCTCTCTTCCTCCCTTCCCTCTCACTTTTCTCACTCTACGTCATTATTTCTCGCTTTCCGTCTTTTTTCTTTCACTTTTTGACTCTCACCTTCTGATATTCTGTTTCTCTCTCTCTCTCTCTCTCTCTCTCTCTCTCTCTCTCCTCGTTTTTCTCTTTGGATAGCCAAAGTATACATTTGGCTCATTAATTAAAATATAAACCAATTTTTAAGTGCATTTTCTAGCCAAGTCTACTGCTTGGAAAGTTGGTTCGCTCTGTGCGAGACAATTTTTTCTGGTCATAAACGTAGCACCATTACGGCTGCCACATCGATTCTGTTTTTTCCGCTATAGAAATTCTTGACAATATCTTAGGAAGTATCTGCAATGATACCGGTCATAACCTGGCATCTAAGCTCCAGTTACACCGCGGCAACGTCGCTTCATTGTCCTTTTTTCTATAAATATTTTCATGCTAATTGCTTTCCTCTTAGTATCTCGACTTCACGAATTTAAGCTCAGTACAAGATTGCCATTTCGGTCTCATAATTTGATTGTTGAAATTGCTACTTGTCACTGTAAGTTCTATGCTAATAGTTTCTTCTCTTGCAGTTCTTGCCTGTGGAACTCTCTTGTGGTTTCCTGCTTTCCTGTCAGCTACGATCTTTTAAATATTTTAAACGGAATGTCAGTCGTCATCTCCTGTCTCCTTGAATGCTGTTCTTTTATTGTCCTCTCTGCTTTTTAACTTTCTTTTAACGCCTTGGGAAAGGTAAGTGATTTAATTTCAGGAGGGTCGGAGATCTGGTCGATACTACACACCTTAGAAACGTCTAAGCAGTTGTACAGGCAACCACGCACAAACATAGTGCAGCTTACTATAAACCTTATTTCTGGAAAGCCTGACTTACAAGCATTACGTCCCTATTGTAATAATTGCTATAGATTTAAAGATGCTTGATAAAATCCAAATAAGAATCAGCAATGTTATTAGTCCTGACCTGGCATCTCGCCTTCAATCAATTACACTGTGCCTTTTCTATAAATATTTTCATGATAATTGTTCTGATGATTTATCCTCGTTGGTACCTCTACTTTTTTAAATTTAAGTACTAAATTGGCTGTTACGTCTCATAGTTTTAATGTTGAAATTTTTAGTTGTAACCGTAAGTCCTATGGTAATAGTTTCTTCTCTTTCCCTTCTCGCTTGTGGAAAAAAAAAACTCTTTAGGTTTCCTGTTTTCCTGTCAGCTACGATCTTAAAACAAATTAATGCGGTGTCAATGTTATCTTCCGATAATCTAGAATCTTATACATAACTGGCACATGCCGGTTAGGTTTTATCATCTTTCAGTTGTGTCTCTGTCTTCGGGCAGAGTGCCACTTCGGGCAGAGTGCCACTTCGGGCAGAGTGCCACTCGGTTCGCCCAACTGAAGAAAATCCCACTGTGAGGTGCTGAGCCCTGGGTAACATCTGCCAGAGGCTGCACCCTCTCATGGCACTAGAGACACCTATAGGTGCTCGCACTGAGGCCAGCGCAGTAGACGGTTGCGGGGTCTTGGGGAATTTTTGTCCTGAGTGTACGCGGTCTGCTTCCCCAACATTAAATCCAACTCAAAATATTCATACCTAGAATCTTGTTCTTTATTTTGTGCTTTCTGCTACTTTCACTCTCAGTAACCCATTGCATTTGGTAACTTTTATCGTATTGTTTGGGTTGCAATAATTAAAAAAAAAAAAAAAATAGTTTTACGGCCTGACAATTTTATTCTATTGTTCCACCATCTTATATCATATTTTGATCATCATTTTAATGCTATCATCGAAACATTTTTTCATCCTTCTCAACTTTAGGTGCCTTTTGCTCTCTTCAAGGAAATTGAAATTTTCTTCATTAAATGAATTCTTTAAATACTAGAATAAAAAAAAAAACGAATTTGCAATATCTGGTTAATTCAGAGGATGATAGAAAATCTTCCAGACAATCAAGAAGAATTTTCACCTGGTTCCCAAAGAAATACGAGTCTTCTTATCTTGATGAAAAAGAAAACGAACCAAACGCCACGTATGTTGCTTGTATTCTTCAATTTTACAAACAATAAAATTAGGAAGTCAAGTCAGACAATTAAAAAGACACATGCTGATATGACAATTGGCACGAGACTATCAAAATCTCGTAATTAAATGATTCTCTGTTGGTAGTTAAATGACACCCTTAATGTCATTTAACAGAAAGAAAGTTCCAACCAATATTTTAAACTCCTCATCTGAATTGAAGTTTAATGACACATCGATTTCCCCATAATGGTCACAGAGCCTCAGTTTAATCTACAGCAAATTTTGTTGGTTTAAAAAAAGAAAGCAACAATTTCGGACAAAGATAGAAAATAATTTACATATTGTTAATTCCTATAGAAAATGATATGTTCTATCTTTTCAATAAGGCTTTTTGACATTTAAATGAATTAAAAGCAAGATTGAAAGCAAAATTTATAATCAAAATCATTTCCTTTAGATTTTCTGTCTGCATTTCTGTTCAAACTCTCCCATTGCACAATTACTTGGCGATGTAAAAAGCAACATAAAATTGTCCATTGATAGATATTAGTAGTTACAGGCAGATTCTAATTTCAAATATCTTTTAATGTCTTTTTTCAATGTATATACCATGATTGTTCATCCAATATCTTTGTATGTTCTTCTTTCATTTGGTATTGATGTCAAAAACATTTCCAATATATTTGCTCTTTCCTAAGCTATTAATTCCGATATTAATATCCTTCCTTGATTTTTGTTTCTTAGAGACAATGCACATCAGTAATTATTAATGCCTCAAGACGGTCTTTCTTGATTTTCTATTCTTACATGTCTTCTAACATGAAAAATGTCCTGAGGCTAAAATCCTTATAAAGAACTGAAGTCATTCACAAAGTTTAAATGAGAAGTTGACAACTTTTAACGGGTTTTAATCCGGGGAAGTCGTTAAGTTGTCCGCCATTTTAACGGCGTCGTTAAAGGTAATCTATAAAGATTCAGAAGCTTAACGTGAATCACGTTTTGTCTCGCTGATTGTGGTTTTGATCTCGCGAAGAAAAATGATTTTTTTCGACAACCCTGGTTTTTCGTTGAAACGTCAAAGTTAGAAATTTCCAAACTGTCCGATATATTTGCCAAGTCGCTCAACAGCTCACACAACCACCACACACACACACACACACACACACACACACACACACATATATATATATATATATATATATATATATATATATATAGATAGATAGATAGATAGATAGATAGATAGATAGATAATATTAGTGGAAAATATACATACATATGAAAAAAATATAAATACCCATACATGTATATTTTCAGAAAAAAATTTCCAAGAGGAAGAATCCAGGTAGAACTCAATGTCTAGGACAGAGTAAGGATATAATAAAAAAAAGGCTTAAACACTAATATTCCATAATTATGACCATGGAATATTAGTGTTTAATTTTTTTTATATATATATATATATATATATATATATATATATATATATATATATATATTAATAAATGTACACATTACATCGAGCACCAGTACTATATTTGTGATATATATATATATTTACAGGTAAAAATCCTTGGGTAAGCAATCCAAGTGAATCTTATTAATATAAAATATCAAAACTGTTTCAGAAAAGAGAGCTCGATATATTTATTATAGAGCATAGAAATGAATTAAATTAAAATGAAACTCAATTATACCCCATTTTATGGCCATTTCGCTCCTCAGGATAAATTCCCTGGAGCTTGTCGATACTGAAACGTTTGATGAAAAACTTTTGATATAAATATTGATAAAAAAAAAAAATAATCACAACGTTTTATTTTTAAAATTAAAATTAATAATGGATAGAAAGAAAGAAGAAAAAAAGAGGACAACAGAGGAACAAACCGTAAATAAGGGGAAAAAACATTTAAGAGGGAGATAGAAAAAAAGAAAAAGAAACCCCAAAATAGTGAGGGGGAACAGGAAGACAGAACATATACAAGTCTAGACAGAAGATAAAAGAGGATAAAGATTAAGGAGGACCTAGATTTAAAATGTTAACTCTTTACAGATTATAGATAAAAAAATTAGAATTTAATATTAAAACTATTATTTTATTCTAATATTAAAAAATGGAATGTAATATTATAATAAAAAAATTAAGACATTATTAGTATATAAACAAGACATGAATATTGAAAATAATAAGTTAAAGAAAGTAATTAAAATAAATAGATAAGTAATAGCCCAAAAGACAATTTTACAATATAAGTGAAAAAAAATTAAATAAATTAATAAAAGTTAATCATAGATTAAACTTAAGATTAAACTTAATTAATTATAGATTAAAATATAAAGGACTAGACAGAATCATATATGTTAAAAATAATTATAGATTAAATTATAATAGATTAAACAGATTAAAATAAAATAAATAAAAACATAAAGATTTCTTTTTCAGGGGGAAACTTCAATAATAAATAACTAAAGACAACCCGTCCCCCGCCAAAAAAAAAAATAAAATAAAATAAAAATAAAAATAAAAAAATCGCTAGCCATTAAACAGGTAAATAAAAGTAAAATTAACTCATCAATTGTAAGCACATAACATATCAAATTTTAAAAAAGAGAAAGAAGAATAAAAAAAAAACTATATAGAGAAAAATATAAAAATAAAACAAAAAAATCCTTATAGGATAAGAAATATAGAAAAATAACTCCTTAAAAAGTGTATGGGATATAGAAAAAACTCTTTAAAAACAATTTTAATTAACTAAAAATGGGGAAATATAGAAGAATATATTTTTAAATAAACCTTGTCAAGTAGGAGGATAATATAAAATATATATTATTAAATAAATCAAACAAGTGCCATATCAGTAAATCGTACCACATAAGTAGATCATATAACATACAAATAGAATAAACAGAAAAGAAGGAGAGGTCTCAATTGAGAAAACTACAGATATAAAAGAAATTTGACATAGCTAGCAATAAAACAAAGGAAAATAGAGGCAAATAAGAAAATGACATATACCTAACATAAAACACAGTATCATATATAAAGTAGCCAATAGGAAGATAGTTAAATAAAAGGAGTAAACAGGAAAAATCCAAAATCCACATATAGAAAAAAAATCCACATATAAAAAATGAAGTGAATGAGGAAAGTGCGAGGTTGAAAAAATATTATATCATTCGGAATTTACTTTATATATTGGAAACCATTTCATTCCTTTTGTTTAGTAAAATGTTTTCATTATTAAATTTAATAATTCTAATTTTCTCCTCCAAACATAAATTACATCCACCCTTAGATGTACTAGGAGTCTGAGCAAAACCTATGAAGTCCCAGTAAATTTGACGGTCCAGGTCTTTCTCCCATAATTCCCAAATTTTTTTGGAGAGAGCACTTTGGTGTTGAAGTGTTGGGTTGGAAAAAGTGTGTCTATGTTTATATAATCCTTGTTTCCATTCCCCCACAGAAATCCCAATATAAACATGGTGATTTTTTAATATTATCTTTGGGGTAAATGGTGGCTTGATAAATAACATTAGATGCTCTACACTTTCACTTGACTGGGAAAATTTGATATTTCTGCAATTACAAGAGTGGTGCATACTAGAAGTCTTGTTGCCATTATTGAATTTCTTAAGAATGTATTTTTTGTGGGAATCAATTATTTTAAACATGTTGTTTGTACATGAATAAGTTATTTTAATAGGTTTTCTAGTAAAGATCATACTTAAAGGGTTGTTATTCTGAAAATGTTTGTTTATAAGTTTCAGGAAAACCTGTACAATATTAATTCTAGATAACCTACAGAAGAGGGTGTTGAACCATATAATATTTCTTTTTCTATTTTTTGTGCCTACTACTACTCTGGCCCTCACCATTGTTATTTATGGGGTTTAAGTAAGATAGTTTGTTAACAAATACACTTTTTTTATATATATATATATATATATATATATATATATATATATATATATATATATATAAAATAACAGACAAAGAATGTCTATTATGTTTGATCATAAGCCGTTCCAAGTTTCGTATAGTGGACAATTTTTGTCTTTATTTTATGTTTCAGGAGAAAATAAAGAGAAAAATTGTCCAACATTTAGATATTATTTTATTAGATTGCTGATCGATCTAATCTTTCGGGTCACATGAGCCATCATCAGAAGGCTTATATGGACAGAGATGTTCACCACCAAAGATGACATCCTGTTATGTTTATATAAAAGTTTTCTATATGACGATAACGGTCGTGGAATAATAACGTCCTTTCCCTCACGTGGTCATATGCGACGTCATAGAACTGCATTACGAATTTATGATCTGGGTCTGCCATTCAGCGGCCGTTATCGTCACATAGCAAACTTTTATGTAAACATAAGACGTGGGTGGTATATCTGGGAGCTATTGCAGCCTCACCATATATATATATATATATATATATATATATATATATATATATATATATATTATACTCATTTCAACCCATGAATAGTTCACGGTTTTCCTATTTTAATATTTTGATGACTCTTAATTCTTAAGGAAATGATGGAGTATGTTCATGGCGAGTTCTACATCAATAAAATAGTCGTAGAAATTCATCTATCACATCGTTAAATATTTGAACTTAACAACAAAATATTGCTATAACAATCAAATATGAATGCCTGCCACTATTTTAAGAAGTGGGTACAAATGAAAAGTTTTTAAATTGACAACTTTTCCAATTCACTGAAACATTCGCTAAAAACTCTTTCTTGCTTTCGTTCATTTATTTTCTCAAACGATCAAAACGGAGTATTCCAGTATTTATGAGTTATCGGCAGGGCGTAAAGGTTGTGCAAACTAATGAAAGGAGAGAAAAGTACAATTATAATAGAATAATTTGGGAAGTGAAATCTTTTCCCTTGTTGTCTATCTTCAGTCATTTTTGCCTGAAAAAAAATTTAAAAAAATGTTAAAAATAAGAAAAGAAAAAAGAATTGTAAAATAATTATATGAGTCCAATTAGAAACGGTTGAAATAATGCAAAAGGGAAAAAAGTAGAAAGAAAAACAATAATAATGAATAAAGTAGGGAAGAGAAAAGGACTGGAAAAAGCAATCAAGAAAATGAAGATAAATAAAAAAGAAAAAAAAAAAAAGAAATGACTAAAGGGAAAAAGAAAGAGAAACACAAAAAAAGGTAAGAATTGAAAGAAAAGCTAAAAAAAAAAAGAAAGAAGGAAATAAATAAGACTAGAAAAGGAAGTAGGGCTGGTGAAAGGAAAAGAAAAAAAGAAAGTGAATATAAAATTAGAAAAAAGAAAATCAATCGATTCAGGGAATGTGTTCGACAACTCCTTTAACCCTTTACCTGGCGGAGACGTATATATACGTTTTTACCGAAAGTATCTTTTTCAGAATAAACACGTCCCAAGCATAACGTTTAAAAACCAGCTACAGATGTGTTTATACATCGATCTTGATTCTATTTTAAGCCCTTCTGAGCTTGAAACGAGTCCGATTGTCAACACATACGTGTCTGGTAGAGGTGTTAGCCACCGCCCAGGTACTACAAGGTACCTCAGTTTCTTAGTTACTACGTTAAAAACAAATAAAAAATTTGTCTGAAAATGAAACGTTTTTCTCAAAATAAATGAAAGCGGTTAATTGTTTGTCATGTTTTATTCTCATACCAAACAATAACAAACCGAAAAAGAAACAAAAAAAAAAAAAAGAAAAAACGAAACAAACACACGCAAGAAAATTCCGTTTTGGGAAAGAGGGGCAATGTTTCAGTTGTTTGTCTAACATTCAACAAACATCCTTTTCTTCCTCGTTGGGTGAAGATTCCATCTTTTTTTTTTTTTTTTAAGGCTCTGAGCAAATAGGATTTGGCATTTTTCTCTTGTTTGTTGCACTCTGAGCTACAGGTCAACTGACATTCTCTGTTTTAGTTTAAGTAAAGATTATGTCAAAGTTTCGAATCGAGGAACGGAAATAAAATCGATCTTAAATACTAACGCGTTCCTTTCCCGCAACTTGATTCTTCTTATAGTGAAGTTGACGTTTCTCATCCCATCTGTCATCACTGGCTATGCAAATAGTAGCCAACTTATTGAAGGTCTTCTTCATCATCATCATCCACCCCTTTGCCTTTTGTAATCGTAGGGCGAATCCGAATGCAGAAGCCACACTCTTTTCCACAACGGTCTTCTTATCAACGGCAGCCATCAGCAATTCTGGCATAGTCATACCTGATGTATTTTTTTGACATTGTCCAACCAGTTTTTGCGTTGGCGTTCTCTCCTATGTCCACCTTCAACAGTGCCTTGCATGATGGTCTTCCACAGGCCGTCGTGCCTTGTAAATGTATCTAACCAGTTTTATTTAAAGTAAGGTTAACGTAATTAGCTCTAAAGCTAAAGATTCGAGGAGGAGGTATGGTGGAGTAGAGGAGACACGGTGGAAGGAACCGGAGAGCTGAGTTCGAATTCTAGTCGGATCCACTGACATACATATACCCTTGTGAAAGCTATGAATCCTCTTGTTCTATCCTACTATGAGTATCTAAACAGACTTGGTTCTATAGCCTTGGGTGGCAACCAGTCTAGGAGAAGGAAACTCTGAATTCAAAACCGGCCTGGAGAGGGTTGGGTTCCGTCATGTTCTCTCGGGCAAGAGAGCCTTCGGGTCAGATGAGGGGTCAAAAGATTCGAGAACTGAGCTGCAACATAAATAGAAAATAGAAACTCTGAAAAGAAAAATAAGAGATGAAAATAATGACACCTCCCTTAGGCCCAATTTTGGCGCCAATCGCATTCTGGATGATCAAGGTATATTCCATGGTTGTTGAAATCTATCGAAGATGCTTCAGACGTGGTATCAGAACCCCGCATCAACCATGTTTGAACAGCATCAGGTAGCTGAATTTTACATATACATATACACATAGCTAGCTGAGTAGAATATGTCTACAAAAGAGAAGATATTATGAAATGGACAAAGTCCGACAATTATTTTTTAAGACATTTTTTAATGTTTACTACGTCCTTTTTATAGATACAAATATTTAAATAAATGCTCTGTTTATAATAAACAGTATTAAAAGCATTTAATTGCCTGAATATCCGAGACATTTTCATAGAGAATATGCTTCCTCCGAGAGGATTCGAACTTGTATCCTATATGGAACAGTAAAATAAAAAAAACAAAAACAAAAAACAAAAAGAAAAGAACCCAGTAAAATCGACCTGGCTAACCGAACGATTCTCTGTGGCCCAATCGGTTAAGGATACAGGTTCGATTCCTGTTGGAGGACAAATATTTTCTATGACAATGGCGAAATCCGTAAAAGCACGTCAGGCTATATGACGGTTTCCGTATAAGATACAGGTTCTAATCCTGTCGGTGGACGAATATTTTCTAAGAAAATTTCTCGGACATTCAGGCCGGTAAATGTTGTTAAAACTGTTTATTATAAACAGAGCATTTATTTAAATATTTGTATCTATAAAAAAGAATGTATAAATATAAACATGTCTTAAAAAAGAGAATGTGACAAACGTAAACAGAATTCAAACTCCCTTCGCCGATTTTTTGCTCCGAGCCGTTAATTCTACAATATTTACCTCTTCAAAGCTCGGATCAACCGCTATCTTGATTCTCTATTCATGCCCTTACAACAACATTAAGTAACCCTTTACCTTGAGTGGCTCTTGGGACTTGTAATATGCGAATAATAGTACAATAAAAAAAAAGTTTAAAATACCGCAGCTTTTACGTTTATTGCTTTTCTACATTTTTACGCAGTCTCCTAGTTTGCTTTTTAAGTCTTTCTATCATCTTTATTATTTAAAAACTCTCTCTATCTCTACCGCTCTCTCTCTCTCTCTCTCTCTCTCTGTACGTTTTCCTTTCTCATGGTTTCCGTTTTGATTTTATATAGATTTATTGCCTCATAACATCACTCTTTTCACTCCTTTTCTTCCCAAAAAACAGAATATCAGTCATTTACACTTGGGCTGTTCCTGTGGTGCAATGCAATTTAAAATCCTTATTTGAACCATAACTGATATTAAGCAAATGGATGTCAAAACAAGAAAACTTCTCAATTGACACCACTTGCATCATTCTAAGTGATGTTGATCGTCTGTATGTATCCATGATCCGAAGGAGGCAGAGGATTAGTTCAACTAGAACTATCTTAAAAAAACGCATATTTTACGTTTCTTGCTTTTCTACATTTTTCTCCTAGTCTGCTTTTTATGTCTTTCCACCATCTCTATTCCCCGAGGCCTGTCTCGATCTCCACCTTGCTCTCTCTATACACTTTTTCATTTCTCATGGTTTCCTTTTTCTAGAAATTTATTGCCTCATAACATTCCTCTTTTCACTACTTTTCTTCTCGCTGGGTTTTCCCAATTTATTCTTGTTTAACAAGGACATCAGTCTTAAACGATTCCATCACAAAAGTGGAATCCTACGTACAGATGCGTAACAACTATATATAGAAGTAAAAGAATAATCTTCGTATATGTACCGTGTCCCTTCAGGTCGTGGGCGATCATGGTTCTCCCCAACATCCTGTCTTTTGTAACTCGACCCAATATTTGTTCTTCCATTCATTTATACAAGCGCGTTTGTTAGGTTACTCGCGGTTTCAATTGTGCTGTGAGTGTCAAATTGTCCAAACCAACTTTCCTCATTATGTGTTTCTGCTGTCTCTTTTTGAAAAAGGTCGAGCAGGTTCGCCTGCCATCCCTTCGCACGGCTCTACAGGATATAAAGCAAGAAATATAATAGGCACAACACGATATTGGCACCGTCAGGTTGCATGATATTGGCACCCACTGTGTATAAAACCCGACATGACAGAGTGGGCCAATATCTGCACTGGAAAATCTGCAACTTCCACGGGAAGGAAACTGACAGAAAATGGTATGAACACTACCCAGGGCCCGGTTACGGAGATAGGGCCTGTTACAATTCTATGGGACTATACAATACACACTGACAAAACAATCAAAGCCAATCGCCCAGATATTGTTATTAAAGACCACAAACAAAAACAGTGCCTCCTTATTGATATGGCAGTCCCTGCTGACTGCAATGTATCTTTGAAGATATTCAAAAAGTTGTCAAAATACAAGGACCTTGAAATAGAAATCTCGAAAATGTGGCATATGGGAACATCAACAATCCCTGTTGTAGTTGGAGCCCTAGGACTGGTTGGAAAAGTTTCCAGTAGATTAATTGAAGGGATTCCTGGAAGTCCATGCCTCAAAGAGATACACAAAATTGTTCAGCCCACACTTTACGAAGGGCTTTATCTGTGTAATTTTTTTTTGTCAGTGGAAAGTGTCATGATGCCATTTCTAATCTAAGGTCCCTGGGAGAACCCGGAAAGAAATGTGTAAACGCCAGAAATCAAAGGAAGAAGAAGGAATAATAATAATAATAATAATAATAATAATAATAATAATAATAATGTTTCAGTGATGACATCGGCATAGATTTCGGATTAGATAAATCTGCATAATTAACATTCAAGAAACGGTAATTCCAGAAACACACTCTGTAGGTCTAGATTTTGCCATAAAGATTAATACCAGCAATACATTTTTGTAAAAATTTACCAGCAATGAATTTTGAAGAAAAAAATTATTACTGGCAATGAATTTTTGAATAAAATAATTATTACCAGCAATAAATTTTAGAGAAAAAAATTACCAGCAATAAAAATCTTGTTGGAATTAAATAACCCATTGAGGTTGATATGTCGTAAAATAAACCAAACCAAAATCAAATTGTTTTCACTGTTATGGTTTCGTTTAAATAAAGATGTTTTAACTTTCTAAAAAAATATTTTTGTTATATTGCTATTTTGGAATCGACAAATGGATGACAAATTCATAATATATTACATTTTCTTCCTTTCATTAAATTTTCTTTCGGCTTCTTTTGAAATCTTTCTAAACGTAAGATAAGGCACATATTGCGTTATAATGTAGGTATAATAAAATCCAGTACAAATTACTAAGAATAATAACAGCATTATATTTTCTCTTTGACGCCATTTCTCTTTCTTTATGTCTTTTCACTAATTTCCTGCCATCGCTATAATATTAATTTAAAGATAGGTAAAGCGGCGCCATTCTTTCAAAGGTTGTTGTTGATTACGGACAAACGTCTGCACGGATGTGTCACGTGATTCCGTCATAATTAAGCGGCATATCATGAATAAAACTATCATCATTCAAAGTAAATAAGTA